GACTCCTCTTTTATTTTGATGTATATAATTTTTGGTGTCTATATAACTTGATAGAACACACTTGTATGAAATTATACTATTAATGCAATGGATGATGTTGTTGCTTGTTTACTACTTTACATTGTTTTGATACTGTACATGACGTCCTCCACCCAAGAACGTTTCTGTTGTTCACCGGTTTTAGGGGTGTGACAAATATTGTTCAGGTTTGATTGGCATATTCCCAACGTTCATATAGTATGCCTAGCGTACTCTGAAGAATATTTGCGACCACCCTTGTTCAGTACGCCCAACGTACTAGGCTAAGCCTGCAAACCTCAAAACTTCTGAAGGTCATAACTTTTTCGTTATAAATCCATTTCTTACGATCCTTATATCCACAAAAAGGTAACGGGAAGCCCTACACTTCTATCAACTTTATACCTCCTGAAGCCCACTCGAACTCAAATCCAATATTCATGAAAATCCCGCACCAACTCCTTTAACAATACATTTGGGCTTTAAAGCACAAACCGAGCTCTTTTATCACACAACCTACCCTACCCATATCCCAAAAGTCCTAAACCTTTGTCCTTTAAAGCCTCAAAACCTTCTCATACTCGGATTAAGGCTCACGGTCCTTAAATCACAAAACAATCTGGAATAGGATGTTACAATGAGAATTATGCCTTTTGTATTTATGAATGATTCTCTTGATGAATTCACAATTTGGGGTTTGCAGGAAAGGAGTGTTGTAGTTCATTTGTTTCCAAATAGGAAGTTGGTATTATGAATGATTGTCAGAATTATTACTTGCGCATCTGCATGGGATTCTTGATGTTAGAGGTATTCATGATTGGGGAGTTCCTGAGGTCGCCATCTGAGATTTGAAACCTCTTTGAGTTGCTTAGTCTATATCTGGAAGATCATCTTGTGTTGTGTTATACATTACAAGGGTCATGGATGTTATGCATTTTTGGTTTAGCCCGTTTGATTTTTGTTCGGTTTGCAATGCCAGTTGGTGGTAGTCGAACCCAAAGTGGCAGAGAACTGGGTATTCTGCTTGGAGGATCATTAATGTGTTCGAACATATGGTTTCAGAAGAGTGAGTCATAGGGATTTGTGTTTCGGGTATGCAAAACTTAGGTTTTGTATTTGGTCAAGATGGGGGTGCAGAACAAGTTGTCATTAGATGTATGTGTTTAGGAATACAAAAGTCATCCTCGTGGAAAGAAGTTTTTGGACAAGGAACTCATTGTAGCCAGTGGTTCCTTTCAAAAACATTGAAGAATAGGTCAAGAGGTGCTTATGTCTCTTCGGTTGAGTATCGATTTTTGAGGGATTTGTCAGCTTGTTGTGTAGATTTATATCTATAGTCTAGGATGGGCAGTTGTTGATCAGTTAATCAGTTTAAAAGGAGTGTGGTAGATCTAGGGTTGGTTATGTGTTTCCTTTGGGAATATATGTAGGTTGAGTAAGATCGCATCAGGAAACTTGGCTTGAGTTATTGGCATGGTCCTTAGTTGGTTTGTAGCCCTTGAATTGGAACAAGAGTTTAACCGCCTATCTCATTTTATGGTTGTGTGCGACCATGTTTTCGTCTGATTTCTCATTGGTAGCAACATGTACTATGAAAGGAATTTTGTGTGATAAAAGGGTATGACCCATGTTATGTTTGGTTGACATTGAGGGCGATGTTGTTGGGTTCCTACAAGACAGTGCATTGATGGTTGTGTTGGGTTTTGAGCATAACAATATTCATATGGTGTACATGCAACCCTAATTGCTTTGGATCCAGGTTTTTCTAATTTGAACATACAACTATGAATGCCAGAGAAATAACCCTATAACTAGCATACATATATTGAATATCACATATGATTAGGGTTAGAATCTTTACCTCTCTTGTTATGTAGTAATAACAAGTTTCATCCTTCTTGATCTTGACTTCTGAAAGCCTAGTGCTCCAAGTGTTGCATCTCTAATGGAGTCACAAACACCCAATGCAACAAGATGACTTAGGAGAGAAGAAGAATTCGGCTAGGGAAACTCAAAGAAGCATAGATCCGAATTCTCATGTATAAGGGTCTATTTATAGTTGAGGCTATTAGGGTTTTAAGATGGAAACCCTAATTTCATTGCTTAGGCCTTAAGTAATCCATGGAACCCTTCTAGAAGGCCCCTTTGGATGAAATCTTTATGGGCTTCCCATAGATTTCATCCAATCTCTTCTATTAGGAGTGCATAGCCCAACTAGCAACTAACAGTTAATTGCAATATTAGTCCCCTTAATTTAATCAGTCTCTTTTGATCACCAAATTACTTTCTGATCAATACTAATTAAATAATATGATTTCCAAAATAATATACTAATCTTGTAATATATTAATAAAACCATTTTGATTACGAATTTATTATTCACATAATAAATTCTACTCTCTTTCCTCTTGTCATCCTATCAAGTTGCATGAGTGAAGGCAACCCAAAAGGACCATGCTCATAATCAAATCAAGTACATACCAAAAATAGTTATGGGCTTAGACACCTAATCCAACAGGTTGAGTATCTTTAGGCCATATGGTGTTTGTCGTAAGTCTTCAGGCTAGTGATGGAATGATGGCAAGGTCAGCATAGTACCGTGAGCTTATCGTTTAGTGGTTGAATGTGTCACGATATATCGTGAGCCAGTAGTTGTATTGTTCGTATAGGTGGGACCTGGTATTCATTTGATTGACATTTATAGGTCTCGAATCGTTAGTCTTCTTGGAAGGTTTGGGTGTTAGTGCATTGTCGAGAGTCGGAAGACTCAGTGGCCAGCTGGTTTGGATCATGTGGGCAGTTAAAGATTGTTGGGAGTAATAATTGTGCATCAAAAGTCTCTTGTGGAGTGTTTGCAATATGTACCCCATTTGATTGCGGACTATTTATTTGAAATTTGGTTACCAATGTTGGGTATCGATTATGAAGACTCAAGTTAAGAAGTACACCTAGGAAGATAAGGGATTTGGATGTAATGATAAATTCTTGGATGGACAATCATTATGCTCGTGGTAGCAGTGGGTTGGTGATGACTTGTCAGGAAGTCAAGTTATATTTAAGGTTTTTAGGCACAACTTCCGAATCTGGGATTGGGTGGTGAAATTCACGATCGATATATTTTGAGTATTCCTTCTTCATGGTTGAGTGGTGTTCCTAGTCAAGGACTATGGGCAAGTACAACAAATGAATGATCAACGATCTTAGGGAATAATTTATGCGATTTAAATTGATGGGTTCAAATTATCGAGAAGTTTCCTACTTTGAGTGATTGTTGTTGTGATTTAAGGTCTTCCAGTTAGGAAGAATAAGGTAGTTGTTTCAGTTCTCATGCAAAGCATTTAGGTTTCTTTCATTGGATGAGGGCAGAGTGTTAAGGTTTATTCTTCTAGAGAGATAAGTGATTTCTGATAAGATGGGGTTTGGATGGCATGATTCGAAGACGGTTGTCGGCATGGGATGAATCTTCAGTCTTAAACGAAATTCGGGAAATTTGGGCAGGATCGACTAGGGTGGCAGAGGAAGTAGTAAGGAATGATTTCGAGGACGAAATCTAATTTAAGTGAGGGAGAATTGTAACATAATGTTCTAGGACGTTTCTTAATTCATGGTTTGTGGACTATAATTTGACCATGTAAGGCCATATATTTCAAGGTAATGGAGTTTAGACTTTATTGGATGTTGATGGTGTTGGATAAGTGATTTAGACCTTGGATTGTTCGTTGGCAGCCGATGGGTAAATGGAAAAGGTAATGTTTCAGGATTCTTGCATAAATTAAGGATTTTAGTTCGAGATGTTTTTAGTCGTAAGTAACTAGATAGAGTTATGGGTCTCGTTGACACCTTTCCGTGGATATAAAGATCATCGAAAACGTAGTTGAAATGAAGAAGTTATGGCTATTTGAGGTTAGGCAAAGGGAATTTAGTAGTACGCAGGGCATATACAAGGGAGTACATAGGGCGTGCATGCTAAGAGTAGGACACGTTTTTAGTGGAGTATGCAGGGTGTACCTAAAGTTACGCAAGGCGTAATTCCACAATGTAAAAACCCTAATTTCATGGTTTTGAGCCCTATTTAAGGTCTCTAACCCCTTGGGGGTCCTTCTTATCATAAGTCTCCACCCTCTTGAGCCTCTAACTCAAAACTCGGGCTTCCTCTCATTTAATTTGAATCTTAGCATCATTTAGGAGCTTATTTCTCCATTAAAAATGGAATCTTCAAGAACAAGGTGGTGGAAAAGTGTATGGAAGAAGGATTCAAGTATAGATCCAGCAAGATTACATCATTTCTGGATCATTGTGAGTAAAAAGCTTCAAACTTGATCATTAGTTTCATAGATCTTGTTAATTTTCATATTTGTCACTTTTTGGTCACTTTAGTGCATAAAATTTAGATCTTGAAAGTTTGTGACCTTGTTATGGATAAAGTTGAAAACTTTATGCATCTAAACATCATATTAATTCAAATATTAAGGTTAGAGACTTGGACTTAATGTATTAAGTTGAGAAAGACTCAATTTTTGTGTTCTTGAAGGAATAAGACGGAAATGGAATCATATTGGAGGCTCAAGGCATCTTGAATCCAAAAGTATGTCACCGTCAAGCATCCTTGTAACATTCCGTTTAAAATTAAGTAAATAAATAATAAACCCTAGAACCCCGAGACGTATTTTTATGTATTGTATTTCAGCCCTGAGTCATTCTAATTAACGGGACGTACACATTGGGGTGTTAAAAGCTACATTTTTTTATTATTGAAGGTTAAATGGTAATTTTTGGGGCTTGAATTGTAATGAATTATTAAAGATGGGGGTGGTTTGGTAACTTATGGATTTGAGTTGAAAAGAACTTAAGAGGGAGAGACTGAAAATAATTATTGGGCGTAAGATGTATAAGGACGGGGGCATAACCCATCACCCTCCTCATGGTTTCTCTTTAAGGAACCAACCAAAACCTAACCCTAGTTTTACTAGCCATCCGCCACCATGGTTGATGTCCACCAGCCACTGCCCCTCCGTCGTAAAGCTGGAATCCACTGCTGTCGACGAAGACAGACCATTGAGGAACACATCATGGCTGCTGCTGCTGTTGTGCTCAGTCACGCAGCGCTTCCTCCCTTTGACTCGCTGTTTACCACGCCACCAGCATCATCGGCCGATAACTTTGCAATAGCTAGTGTCGTCTGTTGGCGCCGCTGTTGTTGCGGTGATGTCTTACCGACCGTTCGATATCTCTCCGCCGTCACCCTCCTCCAAGAATTTAGTACATCATCTTGGTGAGTGTTTTCGCCCATGTGTTTGTATGTTTCAGTGTAGCTTGGTGCGTGATATTGGCCGAAACGCTAGCGGACCACCATGGTAGCCAACCATGGTGGCTGTTGCCGCTTCTATTTCTTTCTACCGCTTTATGTCGTCTCATGTCACCACGAGCCACCGTGGGAGGTGGATGTGTGTGTGGGGGGTGCGTATTCGAGTATACATGTTGTTTTCTATATTCAGGGGGTTGTATGGGCGATTTTTAGCCAAAAAACTCACCACCATCACCACCGTGAGGTGGTGGCTACCACCGTTTTGCCGCCATTAGCCACCATCTCCAGTGGTTGTGTGTTTATGTGTATGATTCGATTGGTGCTTGGATTACTATTGCCCTTGTTTGGCCTAGAATCATAACCACCACCTTATGGTAGTGGCTGCCGCCATGAACCACCGCCAACCACTACTACCTGAGGAGGTAGTGGGTGGTACCTGACTTATTAGACTTTAATTAATGTAAGAACTTAACCCTTGGACTAATCGGCTTATGATTGGGTTGTAAACCCTAATTAGGGTTTAGAAAACCCTAATTTTGGAGATTTTAAATTTTGGATTGTCGGGACCCGCGTTTTGGACCAGTGGATTAAAGTTATCACTTATGCCCGATTACATTATATGTTTGGCCTGGTGCAGTGATGGACTTATTGGATTAAATACTTAATGGGTTAAGTAAGAACACTTAACCCTAATTGTCATTTTATGTGAAAACCCTAATTATTTTTGGGCTTCAAGTTGAGCCTTCTTTTGGGCTTTGGTGATTGGCTTATTGATAGGCCAAATGGAAACAAGTTTATAGACTAAGGAAATTATTCGGCTTTAGGATAAGGCCTATTGGAAAGGCTTGGGCCCAATTTGGAATATTGGGCCTTAAATGGTTGGGCCTTAAGGTAAGACCATGTAGAGGTTTAGGCCCAATTTGGAAAATTAGTCCATATGTTAGGTCTTGGTTGATTATTTGGCTTTTGGGCCTTCAGAGTGGGAGTTTAGGCCTTGGTTTTGAACCAAGCTAGGTTAGGGGTAAAATGGTCCTTTCACCCCAAGTGTAGATTTATGGTTATACATTGAAACCCAAATGGTTAATTGGGTGTTGTTTTGATATTGACAGTTTGGGGATTCGTCAGCCAGCAGCTATAGTTTATTCATGGGACTTTGGTAGTGTCAGGTGAGTCTCCTGACCATACTAATGGGTCGAAGGCACCAAGGGCAGCCTAGTTATCTAGTTGTGATGATTATTTCGAATGTGCTATCGATACATTATATATTTATGTGAAGACCATGTAGGGGTTCCCATGGCAATTAGTTATATATGGTATGCTAGTTGATTGTGTGGTATGTGGTATGCTAGTTGTCTTTATGATACTTGCATGGAAGATCCCGGGGGATTCCCGAGGCAATTAGATATAAGACCATGTAGGGGGTTCCCATGGCATTCCAGGCTAAGACCATGTGGGGGTTCCCATGGTAGTGAGCTAAGACCATGTGGGGGTCCCATGGCACCCGGTGTAAGACCTTGGAGGGTTTCCATGGAACCTTTATATGTTTGTATGTATGTCTTATATGGTTTGTATGACATTTCTGTTGATTAGTTAAGACCATGCACAGGTTCCCATGGCAATTAGTTAAGACCATGAGGGGGTTCCCATGGCAGTGGGCTAAGACCATGAGGGGGTTCCTATGGCACCCGGAGTAAGACCTTGGAGGGTTTCCACAAATTCCTTATATGTTTGCATGTATGGCTTATGTGGTTTATGTAGCTTATATGGATGATATGGTTCATGTGATTATGTGGATTGTATTGGGTATGTTATGGGGATCTCACTAAGCTTCATGCTTACAATTTTGTTTATGGTTTCAGGTATCATTTGTTTGGAAAGGAAGGGCCCAGCTTGATCGCATCACACACACCCGTGTTTTTCTGTATTATGTGATTTTGAGATGTAACTCTGCTAAATGTTTTAATTAATCAATGTTTTTGAATGGTTGGATTAAGTAACATTTGTGTTTGACTATAGTGAAAAACAAATATTTTCCCTTGACTTTTGGGTCGTTACAATCCTTTGAAGGTATAAAGTTTGAAACTTAATGAGTTATTTTCTTAGATCTTCCTAGCCTTGAGTTTGTGTTCATATTTGATCCTATAAGCTTGATGTTAATAAGTATAGTATTGGAAGAGTTTTCTATTCAAACGTTTTTAGGTGTTAGAAACCATAAAAATGTGATCTTGGTCCTTTTATTCCTTACAAGCTAGAGTTATGATCTCCTAATGGATTATTAAGTTAGGGTTTTAGCTTTTGGAACTTTTCTAGCCATGAAAAGTCATAAAGGTGGAAACATAATGACTTAGAATGATGTTTTGGGTCTATATTTGAGTTTGGATGAAAGGTCTTTAAGGAATAATCACTTAATGAGAAGATTTGGCCCAAGCCAGAGTACGTTGGGCATAACAAGATGCACATTGCGTGTATTAGGTTTGAAACTTGTGGTTTGGATGAGTCACGACTACATTAACCAAACTTATCTGTTGCATTTTTCTTAATCAAGACACGATGTTTCACATATGCTTATTTCAATCCTGATAATGAGATATTTGTGTAAGCATGTTGTAAGAACTTCATATGCAGCAAAAGTAAATGCCAATATAACTATATAGATCCAACTTGCCAATATTGTCTTCAAAATACCGTTACGAGTCACCATAAGCTTCGAACAAAAGACCACCATGGTTAATGTTCTTTATGCTCAAGAGTCATTATAGAATGATATTGTTGATGAAATATGATCCTATATGGTCACACCTTATAGAAAGTTACTACTAATTGATTATTTATTAATATAACTTGATTATTAATAAATATTATCAACACTTATATATAGTTGAAAAAAATATTATTTTATAAAAATAATATTTTACCAATATTTTAATTATTATTGTTTTCAGAAAATAATAACAAAGGAGAACAAAAACTTGTTATATTCATAAGATATGAATATATATATATATATATATATACACACACACATACATATATATATATATATATATATATATATATATATATATATATATATATTATAGCATCTTGGGCACTTCGAGTAAGTCATTTAGTTAGGATTCAACTACTAGTTGCATGCTTGAGTGAAGAACACTTCCTGGCTTATTTTTTCTTCATGAAAACATAAGTGTGAGGGTTGTGTAAGGTTTGTCTTGTTTGACTTTCTTTCATACACCACACCTTCTTACATGCGGTTACTTTACAGTTAATGAAGTATGATCTTTGCCATGTATATCTAACTATATAATGGAGTGTTAAAAAGGAAATATAGCTAGTTTTTTTTCATATATTCTCCCTTATTTGTTTCCAAATGGCGAGAGCATTTGCTCATCCCCTCTACTCTTCTTCTTGCATTTGGTGCTTGGATTAAGAGCTTTATATGTTTCTTCTTTTTAAGGTTCATTTGTTATGAACTCTTAAGGCTTAAGAACAATATATACACAAATGAAGACTAGCATCTCTGGTAGTTTACTCTTTCTTGGTGAATACTTCTAGAGAAGCTCTACTTTGAGTTGCTTGTCATTCTTCATCAACTTCCTAATTGTCAAAAGGAATCAAAGCTTTTAAAGGTTGTAAACTCTTTCCTTATATGGCCGTGTTTAATCTTTCCAAGCTTTGAAAAATAATCCTTGCTGGGTAAAATGATTTTAGTTTATTCAAATAAAAAATTGCTTTCATTGCTAATCACGTCATTTTGACAGTATAATTAGACCATTCTTGAATAAAGCCCAACAATTTGTATCAAAGTCATTTTTGCAAGATTTATTAGATTATTTGATAATTTGGCATTATCTTTGTTTTTGGAAAACATGCATGTCTTTCTTTTTGTAAGAAAATTCATATATATTTTTAGTGATAACTTTATAATTATTATTTTTTAGTGACAAATGTTTACATACAATACATATATATATATATATATATATATATATATATATATATATATATATATATAATGTATGTAAACTTTTGTCACAAAAATAATAATAATTATAAAGTAGTCACAAAAAATATATATGAATATATATATATATATATATATATATATATATATATGTGTGTGTGTGTGTGTGTGTGTGTGTTTGATGTGCATAAAATAGCCATAGACCTCTTGTGTTTGTGTTGATTTGTTAAAATGGTTGAATTATTTATTTATTCATATGATATGTAATAATTAAATAGATAGTTTTCATTTTGTTTATTTTTACATAATAGATTTGTTTTAGATATAGTTCATTTTTATAAAAATATACCAAGAATGAAGATGGTGGCCATTTTTAAGATCAAAAATTTATAAAATTGAAAATTTTCATAAACTTTATAAAACTACTTCTATAAATTTGCTACAAGGTGTTGAAGCAAGTGGGAGCATGAAGACATTATAAAATTTTTGGTCCCTTAATATCCTTTTAGGAATGGACTTTTCATTTTTGTGATGGCTCACAAAATATCATTAGATGGTTGGTTTATGCACATATGTTGTAATGTTTGTGATGCTTGTTTTATGTTTATATGTATTATGCATGTTTGTAAAATTAGATTTTAAAATGTTAGATGATCTTTTAAACATAAAAATGATCATAAGGAGTTTGGTTTTAATAAAATTTTCATTTAACATAAGATGTAAAAAGGTTTTAAAAAGAAAAAAAAAAACTTTATTGTTTTAAAACTAGCTAACAACAAATTCTTATGATTAAAATTATGTAAGTTTAAAGCTGAGATTGTAGAAACTTATTAAACTTCAAACCTTATTTTATTAAAGGAAGTTTTAATAAAAGGATTATAAATGTTCTATAGCACTCAAATGTCTAAACTTAATACTAGTTATTAACTTTAAAATTTGACCTTGTCAATAATATAAAATTTGGATTTTATAAAAACATTGTTAAAATGTGATTTTAAATAAATAGTATAGCACGACTTATTGGATGCCTGCAATAACCACGATAAATATGTCTTTTAAAACTAGAATTATAAAACATTAAAGACCCATTATTTAAACTCAAATCTATGCAATCCACTTTGAAATCACTCGCACGTCTCTTCATACGCTAGTGGGATAAATAACACCGAACCGCTTAATGTTATCTTTTGATGGTTCGGGTGTATTCATGATTTCTATAACCAAGTTATAGGTTGGTTACACAAGTTCTTGAAACTGGATGATTTGATTGGAAATCTGTTCTGATAAATGATACCTAAGCAATAGATATATGAG